AATATATATAGATCAACGGCTCATGCACTGTGAATTATGTAACATTTTGTCTTAGGAGTTTTTAAAAATACGCAGGGCTCTGGAAAAGTCTTACATAAGGGGAGGGTGGATCGGGTTTGTGTTCTGGGAAACTGAAATTGAAACAGAACTGGTTGCCGTCTGTTGGAAGCAAGGTTCACTCCTTGCCTTTTCTGCCAGAAAACGAGCCTGAGCCTCACCCTAGCCTCCCAGGTCCTTTATCCCAAGCCAGACATTCCCTGGACTGTGACTCAGACATGGGTAGCCCGTGATTGATCAGGAGGCTGAGGGGGAAGATCTGCGAGTTCGAAACCAGCCTGGGGTACATAGTGAATTCAAGGCCAGCTTGGGAGACCACATGGGGACACCCTGCCTCAAAAACCAAAACCCAAACCTGTCAGCAGTTTTCCTCTGGAATGGCAGCGGGGATAAGGCTAGAGTGGGTTCAGATCTGCAAATCCTGAAGCCAAGGAGCAGACAATAGTATCTTTTTCTAGGGCTCAGTGTCTAAAATAATTCCCTATTTAAAAAAATCCCTCTCTCATATCAAGAAACACAACATAGGGAGCGGGGGTTTAACTCAGTGGTGCGTGCCTGCCTCATAAGTACAAGGTCCTGAGTTTGATCCCTGGTACATAAAACAAAACAAAACAAAACAAAAAAAACCCCACAGTGTATACTAAAGAAAAAAAGCCCAATCCATAAAATTTTTTCTGTGTACTTTTTAACAAAAGTGTAAAAAACAAAACCAATTCCAACAAGCAATACACAGAAACTAGCAAGCAAAACAGTAGGAATCTGAAATCAAACCAGAACAAAATTTTGCAAAGTCCAGGATAAGAAACGTGGACGCTACTTACTTGGTAATGCAAAGTATCAGCTGGGATTCACAGCTCACACTTGTGATCCCAGCACTCTGGGAGGCTGAGGCAGGAGGATCACAAGCTTGAGGGTATATAGCCACGTAACTTAGACCCTGTCTCAGAATAAAATGGGTGGGGATGTAGCTCAGTGCAAAGGCATTGGTTCCATTCCCTAGTACCATCAAAAAAAAAAAAAAAAAAGTCTTTGTCACTGGGTAAAACACCAGTGGCCAGACTGTGCAGTTTATAATGTTCTGAGTCAGACAAGCGTCCGTTAAGCCAGAATGCTGCCTGGAAATGCTATCGCTGGTGATAGTTCAGAGGCTGGATTTCCAAACCCCCTAACCTAAGCACGATTGGTGCAGATTATATTTAGCCCTAAGGCTTCGTCTTTCCTACATTTTCCTTGCACTGGTGCATGTTTGTGGTGCACAGCATCTCCTTTCCTTGAGGGGAGTTGGTCTGTGTACAGAACGCTTCGATCCCTTGTCCACCTCCAATCCCCTTCCCGTACTTCCTATTACTCTTTATTTTGTTCTTAGTTGCATTTCACAGCTTCTAGCCATTCTAATGAAACCATGGCTGAAGTGAAAATACAATCCAAAATATTATTCAGGTCAGTCTCAACTACATAGTGAGACCCTGTCTCAAAAAACAAAACAAAACAAAAAATTATTCACGTATATGAGGTAAGGCCAGGCATGGTTGCCCATCCCTGTGATCCCAGCACTCAGGAGGCTGGAGCATCACAGTGAGTTCAAGACCGGCCTGGACTACACAATGAGACCATCTCAAAAATGTAAGAACCAGCAATTAAAGCTAAAAGCCTAGCATAAATAAGAGCTTGTAAGAATGTAGCCCCAAAACATTTTAATATGACATGGACCAAAGGGAAACCAAAACCACCTCCCCAAACCCGATACGTCAAAATAGAAATATAGCTAGGTAATTAATAGCTCTGTATTTATTAGTATAATTCCCGACAAGTATATTACCCTGTTGCACCTATAGCCAAGGCCTTTCCTAGGTAACTTGAAAAATTTAAAGAACATATTAAAAGCCTGAGCACCATTTTTTATTTTTTGGTACCAGGGATCGAATTCAGGACCTTTGCTTGTGAGGCAGGTGGCGGCACCACTGAGCTAAATCCCTGGTCCATGACCACCATTTTTTAATCTATCAGGTAAAATGTTATTTTTCATTTGTGAGCTCCCAATTGCCATGCACTATGTAAGGTACACTGTGTACATTTTAAATTTATGATGTGGACAGCATCCATTGTGATCCTGGCGTCCTGATGGGTGTGAGGCACAGACACACAGCTATCTGAAGTCGTGCTAATTTCTCCCCTAACCTTGGAAGGACAAACGCCTAGGAAGGGACCACAGCTCTGGCAACCCAGTGGCCTGGGGCTGGTGTCACCATCTGCCTATAAAATCCCAGCAGTGAGCACTGCAATTTGTCAGCTCAGCCCTGCCCACCGCGGGGAAGCAATCGTGGATGAGGCATCGGGCCAATGTGCTGTGTTCTTGTGACATTTTATGGACTCCAGAATCTAACATCAAATATGACTATTTCGCCGATTTTTTTTTCGAACTGGGTTTTGCCATGTAGCGTAGGCTGCGTTGAACTCATGGTGATCATTCCTGCTTCAATCTCTTTGATGCTTATTTCATTGATTAAAAAAAAAGTCACCATTCTTAGCCCTTGGGGCGAACAAAATGGGCAGAGCAAGCTCGGCCTGAGGAGTCCCCTCACGAACCTGCACTGCTGGGGAGACAGTAGGGTTCTTTGCTTGAGGCTTCTGTCCTCCTCCACTGTCCCTTGGACTGGAGGGATGTTACAAGTGGCTGACACAGAAGGGTCCTTTGAGTATTTCCTTTTATTTTTGGTACCGGGGGTTGAACTCGGGTCCTTGCACCTGTGAGGCAGGTGGTGGCACCACTGAGCTACACCCCCCCGTTTGAGTATTTCCTTACGTCCTACCTGGAAGATCTTTTTCAGGTTTATTTGGTCAACACTTAAGAAGTACTACTGTCAGAGACTAGAGCTAGACGGACCAGTGCATTTCCCAACAGTTTTTAACAGGGTTTTAAGGCCTGTGAGTAATGAAAAGATCAAAAATGGAACAGACTGTACATTTTTATTTTTTAATAAATCACATGGCAAAAACAACACTTTATTTAATAAACATATAGGAAATTACAGTTTGAAAATTGCAAATACAGAACATATACACACACTCTGATCTTACACAAAACCAGTGTCAAAATCTCTCTAAGATCAATCAGTCATGTGCAAAATACCTGGTTTTGGAGGGGACGTGGGGAGTATATAGACAGTTTTCCTAAACTTGATATGGCTTATTTAGTAACACATTCATTCAGAGACGTGTATGCTTTCCAAACATACAGTGTCTTCCAGGCTAAGCTGACACACTGGTGCATTTCAATTGAGTTGCATTTACTGAAATCGACACCGCCCTAGACTGCAGAAGTCTTCACAAATGTTTTAACAAAGTGCATAGTTTGTCAGGCCTTCCACGGCACTCTTTGTAAGTGGGACCTCGATGGCCAGCCTGGGTGCGTGGAGAATTCACACCAAGGAGGCCACGGCTTCTCTGATTCACACTCACCTGCTGCTACCACAGACCACCTCCGCGCCCGAAGCCCGTGGGTCATGTCTGAAGCCTGGCTGGCACTGAGCTCAGGGTGAACCTGGTGCTCAGTTTCCTTTGGGGCTTTGGCTTAGGGCCAGCAAGCTTGCCAGGTATCTGGAGACTGGACAGTGTTCAAGATGAAACCAACCACGGAACTAATCTTACATCTAAGGGTAAAACTGCCTAAAATTCCAATTCCGTTAGGAACACTGTACTAATTATGATGGAACAATTAATATGAATGCTAAGAAGAAAAATTTAGCTAAATTGTGCTTGTTTCAGAGTCAAATTGGAGTGTTCACTTGATTTTTTTATTTGTCTTGAGACAGGGTCTCACTGTGCAGTTGAGACTGACCTGGAACTCACTGTGTAGCCCAGGCTGGTCTCAGACTCAGTGATCCTCCTGCCTCAGCCTCCCGAGTGCTGGGATTACAGGTGTGAGCCACCACGCCCGGCTGGAGTGTTCACTTGAGCAACATGACCCACAGCCTTGCTGGCAATGGGCCTGAGTTGGGCACAGTGCAGCTGGTCCATTTCGGGGGAACAGGTCTCAACCTGGAGACTGTACTAAAAATACTGAAAGCAGGGCCACCTCCACTCAGGAGCTGGAACACAGAGACTCATAAAGCAGGAAACTTAGTTGGGAATGGAAACAAAGCACCCAAAGTTGTCAAGGAAACTAAGTAAAATAAGAAATCTAGGGATTTGGCACAGAATGGACGGGGCCATAGCTGCAATGTCTGAGATCCATTAGCTGAGGCAGCACTTTAGGAATGGATTGGAATCAATAGCTTCCGCCTCTGCAGAGCGGAGCCCACCAGAGTATCTTATTCCACTGCATTCCCAAGGTGTCCCTTAAGGCCACAAGATCATTCATCAAACAAAAAGTCTCTTCCTACAGAGTTGAGAAACACTGGTAACTGATTTGCAAATATCAGTTAGAATGTGTCGTACCAAGGAATGGCTAAGTCTTTATGCTGTGGTTCTTCCTAGCCATGGCCCTACTGTCCCAGTCACCCACTTCCCAGGACAGCGTGGAGGTTAGGTGGGTAGCAAGGCCTCCAGGGTCCAAGCTCAGCGAGTGCAGCACACCCAGTGCCCTGGGCTGGAAGCCATGTAGCCACCAGTGTAAATGTTAATGCTATGCTCTAGGTTTTGTCATGTTACAAAAACTGGCATCTGTCCATTTTCAAATCTTGCAGATCTGGTAAAGTACAAATACAGGCTGTTATTTGAGCTACAAAGACAAAGCTCAGAAAACTTCATGTCTCCCGTTAGCATAGCACAGATTTATGGAAGTTCTTGGTATTTCTGAATGTTAGCAAAGGGTCTCTTCAATCCTCAAAAGGATGGTGGATTACTTTATCCAGTAACTTTTTTTTTTTTTTTTTTGAGACAGGGTCTCACTATGTAGTTGAGACTGACCTGGAACTCTCTGTGTAGCCCAGGCTGGTCTCCAACTCCAGCGATCTTCCTCAAACTCTTGAGTGCTAGGATTTTATGCATGCACCACCATGCCCAGCTTATCCAATAACTTTCTAAGAAGCAGGCGGACAGGAAAAGCACCTACCTTATATCTATGTAAGACAGAGGAAAGTGCACAAGAAACAAGCTCAGAAAGTGAGTTAGTTAGCCGCATGCCTCTCAAGGATTTCAATTCACAACTTTCCCGGGTTGTTGTTACTCTGATTCTCTGAGGAGCTAACTATCAGTTTTTCCGATAAGAAAGCAGCCCCATTGGAGAGGGACTGCTGAGTACCCAAGGACAACCTGGGAACCAGTGGCTGTGAAATGCAACACGGATATTCACACCATGGTGATTTCACTGGAAATGTCAGAGCTGCCTCCCTATAACACAGGTGCAAGGCCTGTTCCTCCCGGGGCTTACACACACACACGCGCACACACACACACTAAAACCATTTTACCATTTGTTTTCTTAAAGCAGTTATCTTTTACCAATCCTCTGGGGTTGTGGAGTCCACGGAGAATCCCTCACCCGTATCTAAACAGTGTGGGCCATCGTCCTGGGAGACTTACTGTGGGGATGACGGTAAGGACTGCAGCCCTCGAGAGCCACCTGCAAAGCATACAGATGACCTGGTGTGTGGGAACAAGCTCCTGAGCAATCTGTACATGCGCCGGCAGTTCTGAAAGGGGTGACCACGGCTTCCATTCTGCAGTCTCTTGCCATTGCAAGATAATTTTACACACAGTAAAAGTGACTTGGGAAAAATGTAAGTCTGAAACTCCACATCGCACTCTCACTACTTTATTTTGTTTTAAATAACTGTATGGTAATTTGAATTTAAAATTAATTTCTGCTGTTCAGAATTATACTGAAAATATTACCTAAAGAATTTAATGACAGTGATCACAACATGTAAAGATTGGGTTCTGATAAACCTACAGATAATCAAAATGGTCAACTCTGAGATTCAAAACTCAGTAATATCTGGAAAAAGTTGTTTATGAAGTGTAACTTTGACAATAACAGACTTATTTGTGAAGTGAAACTTTTCTGAAACACTTAGGAATGAATACATGCTCTACTCTGCATAATTACCGGTACTGTCTGAAATTGGCTGAGAAAATTTCTGTAAAAAGAGCAATTCAGAAGCTGGATGTCAAGATTACATAATCTTAAAAAACAACTCAGTTTACTAGCACTGGCTTGATATAAAATGGCCTTTAAAAAGTACTGTAAAATGTAAATTAAATACTGAATTCTGATGCTTCCTTTAACACAGCAACTGTCAAAATGAATGGACGATCTTCTGTGAGGTATCTGTAGAGTTGTGTCTCTCTGTAAACAGCATTTTGGAAACATCTTCATCTGAAAATGACACAGACACAAACTGGCAGGCTGGAGCGAATGTTCTGGGACTGGTGCTTCACACAGACACAGCTCCCACTCTCTCCTCCGGTGCATTTATTTATTGCTCTCGAGTCTGTGACTGTGGGGCACATAAGGCCGCAGCCCCCAGACACACAGAATCAGGGACTAGAACTCTGACAGTTCACACAAGTTCTGTTCACTTCCTGCCTGTAACTCTGAAGCTGAATAGTGCACTTATACATGCCGAACGTGTTCAACAACAGATGCTTTGCTTTTGACTGCACTTCCTCCCATTTAGATGAACTTCCGGGAACTGTAATGTCAAGGAAACATTGTTACCATTCGCTGTACTCGGTCACACACAGGTGAGCAGTGAGTAAGATACAAGGAAAACAGCCTTGACGCAATCAAACTATCATCATCGGTCTGAATTTGAAACTTGCTGAGCTCTTCAATTAGAAGTCATTTTAAACTCCCAGAAGGCATTCTCATTATTAGTATTTCAATCTCTTCAGTCCACTTTCAGGTAGAGAAAGAGTATCACAGACACTAATTACAAGCCTGTCATTAAATATCTCATGCACTTTTAAAGATGGACCGACCACATGTGTATTATTTTAATGAAAAAAAACAATTTGTGAAATGACTTCAATAGAAAGCATAGAAGTCTAGAAAAAAACATGGTAAGTAGATTTCATGCCTTTAATCTGAAGGTAGAGATCAATTTGCAATGTCGTATCGCAAAGAGATAAAAAAAATAATTTTTCTGCTCTCAGTACTGACCTGCAACTTTCTTTCTGAACAGCCTCACCCTTCTTACCCCTTTTCGGCAGGAAACTCTGCCCACTTCAGCAGAAGCACAGGTTCACCCAGAAGGCCCACTGTACTCCCAGCCACGTACTTAGCTGCATGTGAACTATGGCGGTGGACTTTCCTGACGTGAGAGACCAGATATTCAAATCTTCCACTGAGTAGACATCATCTATCTTCATCAGAGCTTCTCTGATGCGGTCTACATTCAAATGGCTCGGCACACCTGTAAGTTCAGAACATGCAACTTCTAAGTTTACTTTGGGAGGAAAAAAAGTTTTACATTACATTCAAACAACACAAATGGCTTGCCAAATTTAAGAATTTTTAATAATATCAGTTCTTTAAGGTAAACCGATGCCCACATTTTTACAAAAAGTACAGTAAGGGCAACCCACTTTCTGGTCTCCCTTCTGTCTCTCTTAGATAGAAGTTATGTTTCAGTACATGAGGTTAATATATAGTTTAAAATAGTCATTCCCGGGGTGGGGATTTGGCTCAGTGGTTCCACTGTCTGCTTTGCAAGCACAAGGACCAGCATTCGATCCCTGGCACTAAAAAAAAAAAAAAAAAAAAATACTCCCCAAAAAAGAAACCCTGGAAAAAAAAAAAAAAAAAAAAAAAAAAATCATTCCCTGAAAAGGAATGCCAATCAAACCAGAATAAGCTTAGATGAAAAAAAAGAGAGGTCCAAAGTAACATCTGATAATGCTGATCCCAATGTTGAAGCTTTTACTTCCGTGTTTATACTAATATCAATCAGTAAGGCAAGGATGTCATAAATATGATGAAGTCACAAGATAAACAAGAATTACGGAATTAAATAAATCACTAGGTAAAACTGTATTAATCAATCACATGGGCTAGGGATGTTGCTCAGCAGTGCAGTGCCTTCCTGGCAAGCACAAAGTCCTGCGTTTGATTCCCAATATCAAAAGAAAGAAGAATCACACGCCTGAAATCCCAGCACTGAGGCTGAGGCAGGAGGACTGCTGCAAGTTCCAGGCCAGCCGGGCGATACCTGAACTACCCAGTGAGATCCTATCTCAAAAAACCAACTCAGGGCTGGGGATGTAGCTCAGTGGCACCACACCTGCCTCACAAGCACAAGGTCGTGAGTTCGATCCCTGGTACAAAAAACAAAAACCCAATGTTGGGGATGTAGCCCAGTGCTGCCACAGCTGCCTGGCAAGTGCAAGATCCTGAGTTTGATTCCCAGTCAGTGCAACCAGAACCAAGGTAGGCTCTCCCTCCGAATCTCAACTTCCTCTTTGTGATGGGGCTACCTTACCTGCTTAGCTACTGTAAGGGTGAAGTGGGTAAGAGGCAGCACTGTGCATCAATCTGTATGTGACACGTACACAGACAGTGACACAGCTCTTACCCAGGGCGTCCCATAACTCCCTAACTCTTAGGCATGGAGTAAACCCGTGGGGGTACCAGTGAGATCTTACCTTCTAGTATTATAACTACTGTGTCCCAGATGATGCGGAATGTTGTGAAAGCCATAAGTAAGGAGAATATGTACGTACAGATGGGGTCTGCAATCTTGTATTCCGGCTAAAAGGTAAGATCAAAGTTACGTGATTAAATATCGACAGACATGAAACAGACTAAAGCAAAGCAAGGTGTATGTCCCCTGTTCTTCGAGTCTCCCTAGAGGACTGGAAGATACCTTTACATCTTCACTCCGTCTTAGAACATGTAAATGACTTCCCTCATGGAATCCCTTCCCTGAAGCTTGTTTGTTCTACTCTGCTCTGTGCTTTCTCTAAAATGTCCATCCAGCTCTTTCACAGAATACGGAGCTGGGAGGGGTTTCAGCAGTCATCTGGTCTAAGCCCCTCACGTTAATGAGTGGGAACTCATGTTTACAATCCAGGGACTTGCTTAAGGCCAAAGCAAGTGGTAGAGCCGAGAGGAGAACCCAGATCGCCACCCAGAGCACATCTCACGGCCCAGCGGGTCAGCGACACAGATGACATCTGAGTTCTCTGGGCAGGTGCTCCCAAGGCCGAGTACAGGTGAGTCAGCTGGGGAGACCTCATGTGTTTACCGCCTACAGAACTGTACTGCTGGTTGGGTGAGCTTACAGTGCAAAATGAACAGGACTGGCATTGATAAGCAGCTGCAGTTTCAACACTTAAACACTTAAAGCCAGCAAGTTTCCAGGCCTGGTGGTCCATGCCTGTATTACCGGCACTCTCATGAGGCTGAGGCAGGAGGATCGCCATGAGTTTGAGGCCAGCCTGGGCTACATGTTGAATTCAAGGTAGGCCTGCATTATAAAGAGACCCTACCTTGAAAAACAAAAGGACAGGGGATTTAGCTCAGCGGCATCACACCTGCCTTGCAAGCACTAGGTCCTGAGTTCAGTCCCTAGTACTGGGGGGGAAAAAAGAAAACCAAAAGCTGGCTGGTGAGCAGCCCAGTACCTTGAATCGTATGATGTAGGCGGCGATGAGGACACCGATGCTCTGCACCAGGTCCCCCAGGGCATGCACAAAGGCGGCTCGCACTGCCAGGCTGTCGTGCCCCGACCGGGGGTCCCCAGGACTGGGGCTCAGAGAGCTGGAGACCGGGGAGTGGGAGTGGGAATGGTGGCCAGACTGGTTCAGCAGAAGCCCCATTCTGTTAGGGTAGAGGAAGACATTGATACTGTGCCTAGAATTAGTGCTAAAAACGTGTGGCAGTCGGACAGTAGTAGAGAGACAGAGCCACTCATTTATAACTCAAACATGTGAGTTACAAATGCCTACGTGTGTCAGGCCCTGCACTAGGTGCTGGGTCCAAAGAGGAGCAGACCCAGCCTGACCCCCACGGAGCTCCCATTCTAACAGGAAAGGCAGAGAAGCAAATGAACAGACCTGACACACAGCCAGGTAACGAAGGCTGCAGAGGCAATGGGTGGAAGGGGCTGGAAGAGTGGAAGTAGCCTGAGAGGCTTTTGAGCAGGAAGCCAGGAAGCAGCGGCAGGAAAAGGAGCAAAGATGAAAACATGCGCTGTGTACCTGGGAAAGGCAGCTACTGTTGTAGGAGAGGAGCTGGAAAAGTACACAGGGTTCTGCCTAAAAGGCTACGGTAGGGGCTTCTGACTTATGCTGAGTGTGAATGGGAGCTGGGGCCGGCACAGTCTCTGCAGTTCACAGTCCACGGAATGTGGAACAGGGAACGCGCAGGTCCAGCTGTGTGTCTGCTCTGGCTCTGTCGCAGCGGGGTGGGACAGCTTCAGAACAGGGTGGGTGGCTCGCACAGTCCCATATTGTTACTGTCCAACCTTTGCAGAAAAAGGCTGCTGACCTCCAGTTTAAGATTAAGTGACCTCCAGTTTAAGATTAAGTATATAATTTAAGATTTGGGGGCTGGGGATGTAGCTCAGTGGTGCTGTGCCTGCCTGGCAAGCACAAGGCCCCTGAATGTGATCCCCCGTTTGGAGGGGGAGGGGGAAGATTTGGTAGCTTTTAGGGGAAAAAATAGCAGTTCAAAACACCTAGCCAAAACAAAAACATTCTGGGCGGCCAGGGATTTAACTCAGTGGTTCCAACAACTGCTTCACAAGCACAAAGTCCCAAGTTTGATCCCTGGTACCACAAAAACAAAAATATTCTAAATATCATCAAATACTTTATCCTATTTAAATCCTCAATTGTTAGTCAAACTCCACTGTATGGTGGACCCTTGAGTTACAACTGGCCTGACAGAAACAACCTGAGTTACAACTGGAATGTTTTAGGGACAAAGTCTTAAGTTACAACCCAAATGCCAGCTGCTTGTGCCTCCAGATGGTCTCAGATTAGATTTAGCCCTTGGAGTCCTGGAAGGAACATTCCAGCATCCTTTCCTGTGAGGGGTTCACTGAGAGATCCTGGGCCAGGGTCTCTCTAAGGACGCTGAGGTCTGCCTGTGTGCAGGAGAGAGACTGTGGAGGCTGTGGAGAGGAGCCTAACCCTTCACTGACCAACCTGAGTTACAACCAGCCCGTGGGAATGAATTGAGTTTGTAAGTGTAGGGTCCACTGTACCTAAGCAAGCTAAAGAGGAATTTATAATGTCTAGTTTTTACATTAATATAATACACATTTCAAAAATATGAAAAGATCATCCCACAATTAGAATGCAGGTTAAGTTTGCAGAACTTGAAAATTTGAATGTGAACACCATCCAGCTTACATGAGATTCACTGCAACTCCCACAGCGGCAGTGATGATCATGATGTCTCCATTTATTTCATAATTCATGTGGAGCGTTCTCTGCACGGCTTCATACAGGAGGAACGCCATCAGGATGTACACCAGCAGCACGCTGATCATCGCCGACAGCACCTCTGGGGAAGAACACAGACAAACGCGTGCTCAGCACTGGTACCATGCTGCACACCAAATAACAGTGTAGTTGGTTATTTCTGTTCCCCTTCCTCTAAGAGGTGTTTTCCTCATGTACAAAGTAGTTAGCAACTTGAACGATGTGGATCCTTTACTAATTCACCCACCACTCCCCACCCTCCACTTCTGTGTGTGGGGTCCAATTATCTATGTTCACAAACCAATGCAATGCAAGATAAAGAATGACAAACTGGAAAACCATCTGTAAAATACGTGACCAGATTAATTTCCTAACATTAACAAAATGAGTACTAAAGTAAAGAATTCATAAGAAAAACAGGTAGGGGACAAAATGATTCACCAGAAAAAGAAATGTCCAAATGTTTAAAATCATAATACAAAAAAGTTAGCTTTCTTTTTATTTTGTACTAACTTGGCAACCATTAAGAAGTGTGATAATACTGAATTAGCAAGGGAGTACCAGTGGAAGCACTGAATGCTTTTACATCTTGTGAAACAAACATCACAGGCACGTATTCCTTGATCTGGCAATTGTCCGGCAACTTACTCAGAAACCCCTCTGTGAGCACAGCTGTCTACAAGGTTTCGCACCATGGCACTACCCATAGTACAGTGTCACTGAAAAAGAGACACATCAAATGTCCACAGAAGAGATGTGATGTAATTTATGGTGGGGATGCCAGCCAGCCATTTCTGTATTTTAGAAAAAAGAAAACAAAACTCAGGCAAATAACTGCAAAGACAGGAAAGTATGCCATCTGGGTGTTACCTGGGGAACCAGAACTTGGGGAATTCATTTTTCATTTTATTCTTTTTGAAATGTTTTAATTGTACCATAAACATATGTTGCCCTAGACTGAAGAAAACCATTATTTTTAGGGTAAGCCAGGCCTCGATGTGCTGTGACTTCTCTTCTAGCGGTGACAGCCATGCATGGACTATGGCAGGGGGGCTGCTGTGTGACAGCAAGTGACTGGAAACCATGGGACCCAGTGGTCCCTGGGGACACAGCCAGCTACTGGGCCATGGAGACAGACTGGGCTGGAGCTCAGCAGGACACACCCCGAGGAAGCAGGAGCACGCATTCTGTAAGGAAGGATTGCACAAAATACTCCTAAAACTCAGGTCCTGTGGGAAAACCGCTGGCCGGGAGGCAGGGGATGACATCATACTATACATGCATTGGCACCTTCAGAAATGTTTCTCATATGAATATAAAATAATTCAACAACAAAACAGAGTAAGGCGAACTATGTTTTAAAATATTACTGCCAGGCGTGGTAGCGCATGCCTGTAGTCCCACTCAGTGGCACCCAGCCACTTGTGAGGCTGAAGCACGAGGCTCTATGAGTTTGAGGCCAGCCTGAGCTACACAAGACCCTGTCTCAAAAAACCCAAACCAAACAGACAAAAAACATGAAGCCGGGCTTTGTGGCCCACAGCTGCAGCTATAATCCCAGCTACTCCAGAGGCAGAAACAGGAAGACCCTACAGGCCAGCAGGGGTGATTCAGTAAAACTCAGTCTCAGCATAAAAATGTAAGAAAGGGCTGGGATGCAAAAGAACTGGCCTACCATTTGCAAGGCATAGGGTTCAATCCCTACTTCTGGGACGGTATAATATAAAACAAGTGCTGACACTCAATAACAGGAAAATACCTTTAGAGAAAATTATTCCTTGGGCTGGGGATTTAGCTCAGTGGATTTAGTGCAAGGTCCTGATTAGATCCCCGGTACCAAAAAAATCCCCAAACAACAAGAAATTTGTTCTTAGAGAAACCTGACATTAATCCTGTTAAGTGTTAAATGGTTTTGTTTGTTTTTTTGTAGTGTTAAATGGTTTTGCTTTATTTCTGTTTTTTTGAGACAGAGTCTGGCCGCATCCTCCTGCCTCTTCTTCTTGAGGACTAGGATTACAGATGTGTACCACCATGCCTGGCAAAAGGGTAAAATAATCTGGAAAACTGTTATCTATGATGATTCACTGTTCAAAGATTCCAGGGAGTTCAAGTATATTGGACTTTGATATATTTTCATTCCAATTTAAAAGTTACAATAAAGAATAATTACATAGCAGTTATGTTATAGTTAATATAACCAAAACTCCTAAAATCTGTACATCAACAGAGCAGGTGTTGGAGTAAGACAAAAACCACACCGTTCCTAGTTCCTACCCATGTCATCGTGGCACACCCATTCCTCACAAGTGAATCGTCTTTCCAGAGAGAGCGGGTCCCCTGAAACACACGGGCCTGTATACTGAGGACATGGGCCCGAGCCCAGGCCATGCATGCCAGCCCTGTGGTTGGGCAGAGGCGCATGCAGCAGAGATGCCACACTCACGTGTGAATTTGTAGACCGAGTCAGTCGGGCCAAGCAAGGGCGGGTGATGAAAGGCGCCTCGGTAAAGTTAGCTAAGTGAGTGGGTCTAAGTGGGTCGTGGACTAAATCCCCAAAACAAGAAGTAAACAGCTTGAAACAGAAGAAGCCAGGCCGGGCGTGGTGGCACATGCCTGTAATCCCAGCACTTGGGAGGCTGAGGCAGGAGGAGCTCTGTGAGTACGAGACCAGCCTGAGCTACATAGTGAGTTCCAGGTCATTCTCACTACATAGAGAGACCCTGTCTCAAAAAGCCAAAAAAAATTCCAAAGTCTTAAGCCAAATAAAATGGAGGAAGCCAGGTGCAGTGGTGCATACCTGCAATCCCAGCACCCAGGAGGCTGAGACAGGAGAATCACTGCAAGTTCAAGGCTAGCCCGAACTACACAGTGACACCTTGTCTCAAAAAAACCAAAGTAAATATTATTTTTTAAAAAAACAAAATATATGGAGTTTCCGGTCTTAACTGTAACTGCTCGTGATAAAATACACATATAAATACTATACAGAGGAAATAATTAAGGGCTGGGGATTTAGCTCAGCGGTTCGGTGGCCTGCCTTGCAAGCGCAAGGAGCCGAGTTCGATCCCCGGCACCAAAAAAAAACCAAACAGGAAACAATTAAAAAGTTTAGCCGGTGAGATCTCATGCGCTAGTGGTCCTCTCCTTGGGGGTGGGGGTGCTTAGTCACAGAGCAAACCTGAAGCCAAAAGTGCAGCCACCTTTAGGGCGCCAACACACTGCGTCTGTGCACACAACACTCAAAAGAGACCAGGTTGTCTGTGAAAATCGAAGACCAATAAAGTTCCTTCCAAACGCCACACGGTCAGGGTGACTGCACTGTCAGGCCCGGGCAGACCCACTTCCCTCTCCAGGCGTCTCAGTGTGGACGTGAACTCGGGGTCTCTCAGTACACTGGGCATCCTGTGCTGCATCTGCTCAGCCCCTCCAGTGATGTTTTCCTGCACACTCCACATTACTTCTTTGTGGATTCTCAGCTAAGGCAAAGCCACACTCAAAGGAAAGGGAAGTCCAGAGCCTGTACAGAGCCCCGGGAAAGGGGCCGCCTCCCGAGGCCACTGCACCCCGCGGGGCCCCAGTGCCCACCATGGTTACTGGTACCGGGCCGAGCTGACCTGGAAATGCCTGAACTGGCCCAACAGGGCGCTGCTACCAATGTCTTCTTTCCAGCAATTAAGGAATGTGCCTCACAGTCTGGCTCCCTGGTTAATTCTAATTACCTGTCAAAATGACTTCTATCCGAAGTACTGGTCAATGTACAAGGGAAAACCCCTCAAAATTTAGATTTTGAGCAACAAGATCTGTAATTGAAACACATAAGGCACAGAAGATGCTGTGTGGCTAAAAACGCGAATAGCAGTAACATGATCATTTTACTCTGTTACAACAAACAAAAAGCCCTTTCACTATAAATAAATGAAACTTTGGTGAAATATCAGGAATAGGGCTAATTAGTGTTAAACACTTTCATAGTATTTTTAACATGATGGAACGCAGATAAAGACAAGGGTCTCTCCCCACACCGCGAAGGAAGCTGCCCATCACCAGCCCAGTCCCGGCCGTCCTGGTCCTGTGGCGCTCACTCTGCTTAGCCTCGGTCATTCACAGTTCTCCCAGACAAAAGGGACGCTTAGATGGGTCCTCCCTTAGCTTCTTAAGGAGACCCAGGGACTTCTACGTGACAGCCCCAGACTTCTGTGACAGGTCCTTCTCCCTAATAGTTACAGTTCAACCTAAGTGGAAACTCAGCAGAACTTAAGACTCCTGAGCTCCTAAGGAAATGCTAGAAAACCTATTATCACAGAAGCTATAACCATACACAAACCTCTGGAGAAAGGCAAGATGAGCAAAGGTGAGCTTCTGCTGAGACCACCCGGCAAGGCGGGATGCAGCTCAGCACAGAGCACTTGCCCCCAGGAGGAAAGCCTGGATTTGCCCCTAGGACAGGGCTGGAGGACCCTCAGGGGTCTTTTCTCTCAACTGAAACCCATGTTTATGGTCTATGTTCTAAGAAGGACTAAAATACACCCTGAATTTCACACACAGAGACTGAACAGTTTGGGTTATAATGAGTAATAAATGCTAAAAGAAAAAAATTAAATGGGAGGAAAGAGATGATTAACAAGTTTTGACAGTACCATAAAATATGACAAATTTTACTGCACATTTTATTTTATTTTGTTTTGTTTTTTGAGACAGGGTCTCACTATGTAGTTGAGACTGCTCTGGAACTCACTATGTAGCCCAGGCTGGTCTTGAACTCACAGCGATCCTCCTGCCTCAGCCTCCCTAGTGCTGGGATTACAGGTGTGTGTCACCATGCCTGGCCTTACTGCACATTTTAAAACAATGCCTACACTGGAGATTTTTAAGGCTCATAGGAAAATTAGAGTACTTTTATTTTTCATCATTTTTTTTTTTTAAGCCTTTACAATTTATTGCTGGGTGTGGTGGCACAGGCCTGTAATCCCAGCACTCGGAAGGCGGAGGAGGAGGAGAACTCATGCTGTGAGAGACCAGCCTGGGCTACACACTGAGTTCCAGGTCAGTCTCAACTACACAGTGAGACCCTGTCTCAAAAAA